CTTCATTCCTCCTTCACCTCTCTCCAAAAAGTTTTTACATTAGAGATACCGCCACAACCTTCCATTCTCAGTAGTATCATTACATTCTTAAATAACTAACAATTATCATTCAATTTTTTTTTTTCAAAATTTCTTTCATTCACAACTTTTAACCGTATTTTTTACCAACATTTACATCTACCACTTGAACTACCATAAATCTCTTTTTTTCCCATTTATGTTAATGAATAGTCATTTAAATACATCAATATACTCTAATATTTGTACACAATTTTATATAACACATTTCACCTAATTTCACAAAAACATTCAACAATCACTTTTCATTTTTCAAGACTATTGAATCTTTATCACTTTACGAGTTATAAATTACTCTGAAAATAAGAAAAATACAGATCTACAAGAACAATACAATTTCGTTTCTAATTTTGGAGGAAGAAAAAGTGAAAAGAAAGAAGGAAAGAGAAACAATAAATTGGAAAGGGCTGGAAAGGGGAGAAAGAAGAGAAATGAGGGGTTTGAGAGTAGAAAGGAAAAAAGAAATGGGTAGGGGTGGGAGTGGGAAAAGAAGATAGAACTGGAAAAAAAAAGTAATTTTTTTTATTTTTGATCTTTTTATTCTAGTCTAAAATTTGATCTTTCACGCTCCTTTTATGTGTGACATCACGCATTTGTGCCAACTCAATAATTAAGTTGTCATATAAGCTTGGTCAACTATTAGAAGAACTTAAAACATAGAATTTCATTAAATGTAAGGATTCAGTTAACAAATAGTCAAATAAAAGGGTCCAGAATATAAACATATACAAATAAAAGGGTCCATCAAATCATTTCACCGTGATTCAAGTTAAGGAGAGAGCAAGGGAAGGGAAAGAAAAAAAACATTTTTTTATTATATTTATCTTTAAAAAACTAAATTATCTTTTAATTGATGGATCCGTAAAAGTAGATGGAAGTAGTAAATTGTGCCTACTGTTTGTCCCTGGTAATTATTGACGACGCACAAATAATTATTGGAAGTTAGAAAAAAGAGGGTAGTACACGTGGAGAGAACTCATCACATGTATGTGCTGCTTGGTTACCCACTATGACTTTATTCATCATGCAGCCTAGCTAAAATTTTTAATAAAGAAATTTAAAATTTTAAGAAGTCGATATCTAGTATTATATATATAATATAATTTTAGTCATGTATAAATAATTATATTTTCTATAAAAAAATCAAATAAATCTCTAATAATATTCTAGCTTCGCTCGTGAATGCACCTACTACAATCTCTAAGGCATATGTAATATAAATCAAATCAAATTACATTCCTATCTACCTTTGACTTATTCCTTTCGCTTTTGAGTTCTTCTTTTCGTCTTCTTCTCTTTTATAAATTTCTTTTTGTGCTAAACTGATGGAATATGCGTAACAGGACACATCTTTATGCTGCACTTTTTTAAAACACAAATTAAAGTAGACCGCTCAACAAATTTGTTTTGTATAAAATTAATCATTGTAGTAGCATGTCTTTAGCACTACAACGAAATTAATTTATGCAAGTACAGGGTATATTAAATTAAACTAAACAGGTGGCTTTCAAAGGAAACAAGGTAGTATTTTGTAATCGATTATTTGATTATCAGCTTATCATTGTCGACGAGAGCGAGTTGCTCGGATGGTAAGAACTCCTCACTTTCAATTCGAAGATTGCGAGCTTGAATCACCAAGAGAGCAAAAGGGGTGGGAGCTTCTAGGGAGGGATAAAAAAAAAAGAAAAAAAAAACTTGTCATTGTCATTTATATAAAATGAGAGATATATATTGAATCGAAAATATATATATTCAAATTGTTTCCAACAATACATGTGTATATTTAAATAGAAGTAACTACTACAGTACGTAATATCTCAATATATAAATTAAAAAATGATTCCGATACTATAACAAGGGAATAGGACTAAATTTTATATTTTTTCTTTGCGATTATTTTTTTAAACCGATCATTATATATTGGTTTCTTTCATTTTGTTATTATTAGCAAATCATATCATGTATTCATACTATACTTTGATGAAATTTTCACACGTGTTAGTAGAATAATATGGAAATTTGTACATATATAGTTTTGACTTTTGACTATGAATTATGATAGGGAAGTGGGAAAGTAGAGGGTTTTACCGCGTTGTCGGAGGAAAAATATTTATTTAATGATTGTTGACTATAGTGTTAATCAATATTTTGCCATAGAAAAAAACAAGGCAGCATGTCAAATCTCATCCCATCAAACTAGCTACTATTTCTCTAATTTTTTACTAAAAAAATGTGGCTACTCTGACTTTAATGACGTTTCACCAAGGAGTAATATTTTTAGAAGATATATAGGCCGCCCTTGCACCAGTTGATTATGAGTTTGATTGAATTTAGTAATTTTGTTCAAATTTTGAATTTGTAATAAGAATCATTAAATATGTAAAAAAAAAAAGAAAAATTATAAAATTTTAAAATCATGAACTTAAAGTTTTGACTCCGCTTCAATTCGACATTGATCGGATTAGATGTGTGTGGTGAATAAGGAAAGGACATATGAAACATAGGATAAGTTAGGTTCGATTCATCAATAATAGATACTAGATATTTCTTTAGCCATAATTAGAGTAAGCAATTAAATTTACACACGAGTCTTGGTATGGTGTTAATAAACTCGTCTAGTTTCGGAACCACGAGACCTAACCCAGTCGTAACGCAAATATCACGGACGAGAGTCTTCGTAGAATTTAATTAGACTATTTATCATCGAATCATTATTCATTCACTAAGTTATACATTATTCTCAAACTCTTAAATTTCATTATTTGTTATTTCAATTCATATCAATGAGATCTGGTGAGATATGTCAGCTACCAACACCTAATTCCAAATTCATTCTATTAATTTGATATTTATTGCTTCCTTTCTCTTATTCACATTGATCAAGCGAATTACAATAGACAAATTCGATACGTTCATCATATTAATCCATATGTTTTTAAGTCATGTTTATAAATTTAACCGTATCATTTTAGAAATAGACACACGTATTATACACTACAAATAAAAATATATTTGTAGAACAACCACTTGATCGATAAGGTAGCTAGGTCTTTGGCTGGTGTTTTTAATTACTCTTTCTGTTCTAGAAGAAAAGAAGAAGAAACTTTTTTGATCACATGTTCCTGGCAAAACATTATATTTAACTCATATGAGTCGTTAAAGTATAGTAATAATTATGTGGGATCAAATTAGGACAATTAAGTGAAGATTTAGGAAGAACGTTTTCTATCTCAACTCTGGACTCGTATTAATTAGGAGTAAAAGTTTGTCGTATATCCTTTTATTACTACTTTGAAATTAAAACTCAGGTAGTTAAACCTAGTAATTAATTCGTCTAAGTTTTCAATTAAAAGTTATAGCTTTCATTTGATCATAAATTTTGAAATTGAATTTTTGAAGTTGTGATTTTTAGAAATTAAAATTGTGTTTGGATATATATGTTTCATGGGAAAAATATTTTAAGTTTTATAAGTGGAAGTGAAATTTCTCAAACTAATTTTTGGAAAGTAGAAAATATTTTGAATATAAATTTTAAAATTTATAATTGAAGATAAAGATTCAAAATCGCATCAAATTTCATGGTCAAACATATATTTGACTACAAGATTCCAAAATCCAATTCACAATTTGATCAATTTTAATGGTCAAACAGATATTTGAAGATAAAAATTCAAAATCTGATCAAATTTCATGGTCAAACAGATATTTGAACAAAAGGTTCAAAATCTGTTTCACTGCCTGATTCAAACAATTTTCATGTATCCTTAAATGCTAACTAAAAGTACTATTTGGTGGGTTGCTTACTTATTTTATCGTGTTTGATATGTAAGAAAAATAAATTATCCTAAAATTATTTATATATAATCTAGACAAATATCACTATATAGAGTCTCGAGTATCTTTCCTTCGGAAACCAACTAAGACAAGTCCAACACCCCATCTGAATTCGAAATCATGCAAGCCATTATTTGTATGAACTCGTGTATCCATGACGGATATAAGCATCTGTGGGAGGTGGAGCTGGAGGTGGGCAAGTGATATTCGGTGAAGATAAAGTACGTTGGATGGTCAGGAGGACACAATCAATTAGCTAAGACCGAGCACTGGCCACCGGGACTCGAGTTAACTCTTTAGTCAAATGAATAGAATGGCCCCTACTGGGAGGCCCTTAGGGTAGAATTATGTTACCAACTCTCCTGACCTGCAAAATTTATTTTCGCTGGCACTGCTGTGCATTGCGTAGATGATACGAAACAGCAGTGGGGACTCCCAATAGTGTAGCTTAACGATCGATGAAATGAAAGAAGAATCATAAATTTGAGACACAAATTCAAAATTTGAACTTTATAGGTTTCAATTTTTCTGGTTTCTTGCATTGAGTCAAGTATAACTTTAAAATCATAAGTTCAACCATTCTATTTATTGCAATTTTGATAAATATTATGAATATGTCAAATACTAAGTAATATCTTCATATCTGTCACTACCTGTAATGTTGTTTGTAATTTTGCCTGCTCGATCTTGCTAATACACTCATTTTTTAATTAAAAGAAAAAAAAAAAAAAGAGCAAAGTTCAGTGTGCCTAGATGGAAAAAATTAGTTCAATGTATCTAGAGATTCATTTTCTAAATTATAAATTGGGGCAGGTCAGTTGATTAAGGTACCATGTAATTTTATTCTCTGCACTTTTTAGTAGTACTCTTTTCTCAATATTTTTTTCTGATAAAGAGTACTTTTTTCTCAATATTTTGTTACCAAAAGTACATAGGTGCCACGATAAAAGTGTGCTCTGAGCTTAAACTTTTAGATGAAATAGTCACACATTTCAACATGGTATTAGAGCAGACAGAAGTCTTGAGATCAAATCTCACCGCCACCCAAATAAAAAAAGAAAAAATTCACATGCTTGACCCATGAATATAAGAAAATAGCTATATCTCAATTGTTAAACTCACTTTAATTTAAATACAATAAAATTTCTACATAGGCAAATGAAAAATTTGAGACATGAGGAGGGTAAGAGTAGAGGAACATACAGCCTATGTACAAAGGAAAATAATAAAACAGATTGAATCCAACAGATGATTATAGAGATCATGTCTGAACATGTTGCATATTATTTCTATTACATATGTATAAGCTTACAACAATAAAACAAACATGTGAAAGATATCTTTGCACCTGATTTAGCTACTTCTATTGCTCCTTAAGACTGGCACCATTCTTCTAATGTAGGAGTCGCCACGCCCACATTTTTCATATCAAATATGTTCGCTGCAATACAGAAAAAATCAGTGCACATAACAATAGCTCGAGATGAATCATAAATGAGTTGAACATCTACATGAAGTTGAGTTTAAAGTTTTGCTAGAACTTTAGTCGGAGCAGGAAAAACTATTTTCATTCAAGATCAAGTTTGCTAATACGACCAAAAAGAAACACAGCAGAACACATTCGACAATTAAACTGATAAGGATGGCTCGCTGTTCTCAAACAAGGAAGAAACTGATAATTATGCTTCTAACTTACAAATGGAACTAAATGAGTTGTGATGTAAGAAACTAAGAACAAAAAAATACAGAATCGCAAGGTACAAAGTCCTTAAAAGAACTACATAAATTTGATGGTCCTCTTAGAGGAAAAATTAGGCAACTTCAAAACCAACAAAATTAGCGAAACTTAGTTCAAGTCTTGAAACCAATGGCATAGTAAAACTGTTATTATTAAATACATGTAGTATTTCTTCAGAGAAATGATAACTGTCGGCAGTCTCCTAGTTCAAAGGTTTTGCAATTGTTCCAAGATCTAGATAGTTTGAAGGAGCAGTACCATGTCAGACTTCTCTATGACTTGTGCAAGCAGAGGTTACCAAGGACAAACTAGGATGACAACAACAACAACAACAACATGCCCAGTGAAATCCCACTAGGTGGGGTCTGGGGAGGGTAAAGTGTACGCAGACCTTGCCACTACCTCGTGGAGGTAGAGAGGCTGTTTCCGGGAGACCCTCAGCTCAAGAACAACAAATCTAAGTGGCAGGAGAGATATATATAAAACATAACAGCCAATACAAAAGATAGCGTATAATCAACAAATGAGACAATAACAGCAAGAAAGTAATGCGATGCGTGAAACGCAGTAAACAGCATAAGGCTAGGTCTACTCCAAACGCTAACAACCCATACCCTTGCAAGGGAAGACAACACGCTAACCCTACTAACCTTCAACCTTAATACGCGACCTCCACTCCTTCCTATCTAGAGTCATGTCCTCGGTAATGTGAAGCATAGCCAAGTCTTGTCTAATCACTAGGATGACAAATAGTGAAAAAGAGTTCATGTGTTAACTGAATTTTATAGTGCGAAACATGAATAAGTTTGAAGGTAAATGTTTGACGTACTTTCAGATTTTTTTCTGTATTTCCTGATACTTAAGGTTATGGCTTAGATAAGTAAGGATTAAGGATCCAAAATAAAGATTATGGCCTAGACAGGTATGTTTGTAAACGGTAATTTCCTCATACAAGCTTTCAAAATGCAGAATAATAAGGACGCCCTAGTGCCTGATCTTTCAAATATGTAGCAAATTCATCTATGAATCTAACTGTAAATAAACTTCACAAGACAGGACAAGACAAGGTTAAACACTAAAGCATGTATCGATAATGAGGAGATAGTCGACCTTTGTGGCCCAAACTTTTGATCTGGTTAAGTGATCAGTAGTTGTAATTCGTAACTACTTAAAATAAGATATAGCATGAAGTTATTTGACAGTCAATACTAATCAACTTGCCTAGTACCTAGATTAAAAGACAAATAAGTTACTAAAACAAAATATGTAAACAAGCACAAAAACGACTGCTTTGTGTTATCTGTTACCAATGTGTATATCAGGAGTAGCAGCAGCTGTGGCATCTATAATGACCGTCACACGTTGATAGTCCAATGCTACAGCATCAAAGACAGTCTGCCGTATGCAATTTGGAGTTTGAACACCTAAACAAAAAATATAAGTCACTTGACAAATACATACATACACATCAGTTAATCAAATCCTAAAGTCTATAGCCATAGAAAATCTCGATTATAAGCATCTAATTACCAATAACGACCAAGTTGGTAACGCCAATGCCCTGAAGATACGAATGAAGATTCGTGTTAAAGAATGCACTGAAACGTGTTTTCACCAATTTGTAATCACCTTCCTGAATAAGAAGCCCATCAACCAGTTCTGCTCCCACACACCCCTTTGATGTGGGTTTTGGTTTCCCATCACCGTACAAATGCCTACGAAACAATTCAACATCTCTTCCTAATGGGTCATGCTCGCGGACAACCTAACACAAATTGATTTATTGGTCAGAAATGAGTTTAACTACTCGTAACCATCCATTTTAACCTAAAATAACCCATTACAATAACAACTACACCTCCAGTTGGTATCGGCTATATGAAGCTCAATTTAGGTAAAAATCCATTAATATTGTAAAATTTAACTTTACAGTAAAATCATAAAGTTTAAATAAATACCCAAATAATGGGGATTCCACGGTTTCGTGCAACCTCAACGGTCTTGATAACGTTTGGGACAATAGCTTCACCATCTCTAACAAGCATAGGAGCACCTGGTAGTATAAAATCTTTCTGAAATTTAAGTTCAAACAGACAAATCTTCAACAAATGATTGTTACTATTATGCTGAATCAGAAGAAGATTAGAGAAATACCTGCATATCTATGACAACAACAGCTGTTTTGCTCCATTTATCACCATTTTCTGTGCCCATTTGATTATTACAAACTCAGAATTTCGTCCGACTCCACTTTATCTACCTGCTACTTTCAAGACTAAACAATATTTTGAGCGTTGACCTTATTTATTGGATGGGCCAGACTAATTGGGGCCTGGTATCCCAAACTCAACTTTTCTGTGTTGGGCTTTTGATTTAGTAACTGATATGTCTTCCACATTAGAAAAATTACATAAATACACATCTTATTTTATCATAATTTCTAAAGTTTTCTATTGTCATTTAGAAAAAAATTCAAAAATTTCTTCTTTGATACATCACTCTCCTCTCATTGATACATTTCTATACCTCTCAGATACATCCCTCTCCTCTCTGATACATCCCTACCCTCTCGGATACATCTCACCTCTATGTATCCAAATGTCCTATCCCTCTCTGATACATCTCTCCCCTCTTGAATACATCCATTCTCTATGTATCTAAAAGTTTCACTGATGTATCCGAAAGTCCAAATGATGTAACTGAATGTCCTATCCCTCTCTGATACATCTCCCCCCTCTTGGATACATTCATTCTCTATGTATCTGGAAGTCCAAATGATGTATCCAGAATTTATAAATATTAAGAGATTAATTCCATAACTCAATGAGTCAATAACTTAGAATGATCTAATTTACAAAATAGCAAGCAAATATTGTAGGGTATAAGTTAGGCACGATAATTTAAGTTTGGCCGAAGGGACATAAACCAAAGAATCCCAAAAATTATCCCCGACTTTTTTTTTTTAATGTATGCACATTGATTATAAGGAATAACAATACGCTTATATTGCTCTTCCACAACTCTGTTTTCACAATTTAGGTTACTCACACGGGAATTACTTTTGCTTTCTTTCCTCTAACTTCTAAGATGTTTTAGTTCGCTATGTTGTCTCTGGCCTACCCATGGATCAACAGCTCAAGGGCGGAGCTACATGGTTGTTAGTATCCAATTGGACACCTTTTATCGGAAAAAAATATCATAAATATAAGTAAAATGATATACGAAGTGATTAAATAACATATTTTGGACGTCTTTGACATAATAAGCTACTGTAGCCCAATAGCTGCAGATGCCTCAAATGGATCAGTGTTTGCAATTTCTAAACAACCTTTGTAAAATCACTTTTTTTAAAAAGCTTTTGATGACGGATGATCAAATAATTTCCACTACAAGAAAAGTGTGAATTACTTGAGGATTTTCCTGAGAATTAGTATGAAAATTTGGAGGAAAATAAGCTTCCTATAGATTTTCATACTAGTCTCCGAGAAAATTCACATGTAATTCACACTTTTCAAATAGTGTTCAATTACAAAAAATAGTATAGAATTTAACGATAAATTAATGACCAATTTTGACCCCACCTTAACATTTAGAAACCAAGTTGTTCTCTTTTCTTAGAGGATGCCTTTTGGAATATCCAACAAATATAAATATATTGCAATGCAAATTATGAGAAAAAAGACTTAAAAATCAATCAGTATTCTATTGAATGGAATATTATAGAACTTAGCCGCCCAGCCCATTACCAAAGTTTTTTTTTTTTTTGGTACACTCACAAAATATACTTTCTCCGTTCTAAAATAAGTGTCATTATAATTAAGAAAATTATCCTAAAATAAGATTACCCTTATATTAAAGAATTCATCTTTTTAATACGCTTAATTCTCCAAAAATATCTAATAAATAAAGATAGTTTAATAAATTATATATTATATTTATTTATTTATTTATTTATTAATGAAGGTGAAATGAGCTGATGTAATACTTATTTTAAAGAGGAGTATTATTTTTATTTAACTCTTTGGTTAGTGAAATCAAAATTGGTAACGACACCAGCCACTTGTCATTCCAAGCTGCCTCTCTCTGACTTTGAAAATAATATAAAATAAGTGTATATTTTATTAAACACTTTTTTTAATAAAACACAAGTAGACAACATAATGGTTCTATCTTCTTCTTTTTGATATTTATTCTAACATGATCATGAATCGATGATTGTTTTGACCTCTGTTTAGCCACATTTATCTTAATTTATTTCTTTTTTGCTCTTTCTTTTCTATTTTTATTTGGAGTTAAACTAATTTGTATTGGCTTTTAAGAAGTCTTATTTTAAGTGTAAATTAAAAATATGTCCTACCAACACTCAAGAATATGTTCTAGTGACGAAGGAGGTGGTTTAGAATTATGAGATTTTATATTCAATAGACATCACATAAAAATGATCTTTAGTAGCAATAAAGTAACAGTTAGCGGCAATCAATATACTTTGTATGTGTCTCTAAAGTCTTTAGTGATATTGGATATAGTGACACTTAACTAATGTTATTTAAGACTTTAGCACTCTTTATTAAGAATCCAGAGCCAAAAAGACATCTTTTTTCCTCTAAAATACATAAAGGAACACTAATTTATTTATTTTAAAACGAAATGGACAACTCGCTCCTGAGGGAGCAAGATCTATTCTGTTTAGCAGCGTTCAATTTTCTTTCTTTCTCGCTGCTCGGTCACCAAGAAATGTAATTTTTTGTTGTAATAAGAAATAAAAATAATAAGTGATTTCTTTTTATATATCAATAGATAGAATTATCTAATAATAATAAATTAACCACTCTATAACAACATTGTTAGAAGGTGTGTTGGTTTGACATTGGACAAAATGAACAATAGTACACCACTAGTCTTATCACTTTTTGCATTTAATCCTCTTAATTATTTTTTTAATTCAATTTATCTTTTTGCTGGTGGAAAAATGATAGTGGAGTGACCTATGCAAATCCCACCTTCAATAGTAGATCCCTCCCCTTACGTACGACATAATATAATATAAATTAGTGTCTATTCATATTTTTTTTTAAAAGTAAAAAGTAGTACTACTAACTTATAAGCAAAAGAAAAATGTATTTTTTTTTGTCAGGATAATTATTACATGATGATTACATCATAAAGGGAAAAGTGGTACAAGTCTATATTATTCTTAATTTGGAGGTCAGTTAAAAGATATACTACTAGCAAATAACTGGTTAATTTTCAGATAATCACATAATTATCTATGGTCTAAAGAACAACTTTATTTCAGATTTCCGTCACTTCTTATAAAAAAAAATTCTATGAGGATAGATTTTAGAATCAAGATTTAATTTTTTTCTCACTATTATTAATTTAATTATCACATTATTTTGTTGTTGTTATTGTTTTCTATATTGTTGTAATCATTTAAAATTTATTTAAATATAAATTTATTAAATGATTTGGATTATATTAAATTCATGAATATATTAGTCCAAATAAATATTATGGATTAATATAATTGATTTAATTATTTAAATTCAATAAATATGAATTTAATTAAAGCCCGCTCCATAAAGCCCATATGCCATGTCACTTAAATCTGATTGGCCGAAGAGAGTCCTCTTCTAAACACAACTCCTCTATTTTAAAACTATAAATAGGGGTCCTCATAATTCAGAAAAGAGGACCAAGAATTTTAACAAGAAGCTAGAGAAAGCTCGTGGGTCAAAAGCTGCAGATTTCTCTACAAGTTCAAGAGTTCAAGAATTCAAGCATTCAAGTTTCAAGAACATTCAAGATCAAGAACGATAAAGATCAAGAACGATCAAGATCAAGACCGCCGGATTCAAGATCAAGCTCGAAGCCCTTGGATTCAACTAGAAGTCAAGATCAAGATAAAGTTCAAGTTCAAGATCAAGAGAAAGTTCCAAATCAAGTCCAAATCCAAGTCCAAGTTCAAGATCAAGATCAAGATAGAGATCAAGATCGAGATAAATCTCAAGTTCTAGATCAAGCTCAAGAGCCCTTGAATTATATTTGAAAAGGCGAATTCAGAGGAATAATAGAGATTGTAACACTCGCATTTTGAAATAATAAATACGATTGTTGCTATAATTTTCCGTTCTTGATTATTGTTTTCTCGACGCGAATTTTATTGTCTACAAATTCTGGCACGCCCAGTGGGACAATCTCTACCTCTCATCTCAACTTTTCAAGCATCAAAGAATATCAAGATGACTTCTATGAAGAACAACTCCCGATCAACTGCCTCTAAGGCTACTAGCTCCAAGTTCTCTAATGAAGTTGAAGGCATTTTGGGTGTTACCTTTGGAAGTTTCGGAGCTGTTACGAGAAGCAAGACTGCTACACTAGGACAACAAACACTTCAAGTGTCATCCACATCAACTCCAATTTTTGGGTCTACTACTCAAAAAATATCAAGTGTCTCCGCAAACGCTTTAGAAGGAGGAAGCAGTGTTGCTGAAAAGATCAAGAAGACATTGGCTCTCCTTGAGCAATCTGGTTCCAAGAACTCTACCATAAGGGAGAGCTATGATTCAACGAATGAGTCACCTCCACGTGCATCGCGTAATGTGAGTCCATTGAAGATCAACTTACGCGACAATCCATGCTACTCTCCTACATCTCCAATGATCATGCAAACAATGGTGGCTGCTGCTTCTTCCTCTGAGGAACAACTCGCAAATCTGACGAAGTTGGTTGAAGGATTGACAAAGCATGTACAACACCAAGAGTCTAGAATCGATAAGTTGATGGATCGAATGGAAGGACTTTTAGATGGAGAAGCGAGTCATGCGCCCGGAAAATGTGTTGAAGTTCAAGAGATTGGAGATCCTGCAAAGAAAGCACCGATTGTTAATGAGATGCCAGTTTCTTCTGAAGGAATGATCCCACTCGATCGCTTGAAGGAGTTCATTGAAGGCACTATCAAAGATAAGTATGAAGTCTCCACCAAGTCTTCTCATATGTATGCCAAGCCATACACTGCAAGAATTGATAACTTAAAAATGCCTGCTGGTTATCAACCCCCAAAATTTCAACAATTTGAGGGTAGAGGAAATCCAAAGCAACATGTTGCACACTTTGTGGAGACATGTAATAATGCTGGAACATATGGAGACTATCTTGTCAAGCAGTTTGTCCGGTCTCTAAAAGGAAATGCCTTTGATTGGTATACAGATCTTGAGCCCAATTCTATTGATAATTGGGAACAACTAGAGC